TCTTAATTGACCTTGGAAGGCTAGGGCCAAAATGTTGGCTTTCCTTGCGGCCCTCCTTTTTCTCTAATTTTGGTCTGCAAACTTAGGTTGTTAACCATCCGGAAGACAAGCTTATTGTTATTACCGTGCAACTTAGGAAGCCCCAGCTTTTTGAAATGATTAAATTCTAGCAGCGGTAGTGCAAACTTTAATCTACATGTACTTTCTAAATTTCTGTTTGTTCCCTATTGGCCAAGCAAATCACATGGATATTCCAGATAATGAGAAAGGGAATGGATAAAGGAAGTAAAAGAATTTGTTGTCATTTTTGCAACTGAGAGCAGTCAAGGATGTGATATTTTAACTTACGGTTTCTTAGATGCTGGTAGAAAACACAGAGCCTCTCAGTTAGAAACAAAGGATAGTTTATTATTGATGGATACAATACCTGATTAGATTTACACTGATTTCTGAACCCAGAAAGATGATACAAAGAGAGATTGTATTGCTGTACAAAAACCTTTTATAATGGGCAGAAAACATACCTGTCCTTTGCTTTTGGAGGGACACATTGTACTGGGCTTTAAGCATTCCTCTTCTTTGCACACCCAAGCGGCACTGTGTACATCTTCCAGGACTGTACGCAAGGCCACCCTTTGCTCCAGATTGGTATACCACTCTCCTTCCAGGGCTGTTTGCTATAGAGACAGCCTGAAAGAGAGAATTCATAACAAAGGATAGTCATTGTTTCATTCACAATATTTACAGAAATGCAAGAGACCCCTCGAGAATTGTCTCCCAGCAGCCACATACCCTGAACTAGAATTATGCTTGTGTCTTCTACCACGAGTTTCTACCACTGAAACTCGTGGAAATAGTATATGTCTCAGTAATTTTTATATCTCTTACAATTATGTTATCTTGTGCTTTGTAACTGCTTAATAATTATCTATCAAGTAAATAAATGTTTCTAACTGTCATAGAGTTCTGTGTGTATTTTAATTAATATTCTGAATGCTATAGATAAACAAATTAATTATGGGATTTTCCTTCTAATATAATCCTTTCAAGTAAATTAAGTACTATAATATAATGTAGAGTTTTATATAATTTTGATACATATAATTTTGTTTAGATAATTTTGAAGCTGGAGTCCTCATTCTGATTCAGGAAAGGTGGGACTGGAAGAATGAGAAACCTCAAACTTTGATGTACACTGTTCTTTTATGTTGGCCTAAGAGCTAACAATAGCTTTTCTTGTTTAAAATATGAATAATGAATGAACAGTTGACTAAGTACAGTGATTTCTCTTGGTCACCTACGTTTTAAAAAGAATCTATAAAACCACATTCTTGACTTAAAAAATAATGACTTTTTTTAAAAATAAAAATTTTAGGCTTTATTTCATGAAATGGAAGCAGCACGGCATTAGTCAAATGCTGCCACTGAGTCAGAGCGAGGACTTCTTAAAACAAGAAAAGAGTGAGCTTAGGCGTGAAGTCTGAGTGTGAATCGAGCAGTTAGGGTGGCGTGTATACAACACGATTTTTCACAGTGCTTGGAAAATGGTAGGTTCTCTGTGTTTGCGGAATTAGTAATCCTCTTCACTATCTCTGCTATGAGCACAGGAAGGTCATCTTGTTTTCTTGTCTTACTTTCTGGTTGCTAGGACAAAATACTTGACATCTGTAAGTTAAAGGAGAAGAGCTTTATTTTGACTCCCAGTTGGCAAGTATTTTAGTCTATAGCCAGCTCATTCCAAGGCAGAGTGGCATAGCAGAGGGGCGTGGCAGAGGAGGGTCAGTCCATGGCAGGGCGGGAAGGAAGCCGAGCGGGGTCAGGAGTAGAGGAATTAGACACATGCGCATGCACACACACCTTCCTTCATCCCAGGCCATGCCCACAGTGGCCCAATTCTTCCCACCAGGTTCACTTCCCAAAGTCCCACCCAGTGATAAACCCATCCCTGAACTAATCCAGTGATCCAGTCACCTCTGAGAACTTCACCTATGAGTGTATAAGGCTTTGCGGAAACATCTAGTTGCAAGCCATGACATTTACGATTTCACCTATAAATTGATCATTATCAATTTTTAGAGTATAATAAAATAAGGTGAATAGCACAATAAGTATAGTATCTGACACACAACAGCCTTTCAATAAATATTAGCCTTTTCGATTTATTTTTTTTTCATTTTAATGAGAAAGATAAAATAGCAATGAAACAGTTTCAAAAATAGGTTAGTAAGACAGATACAATAATTAATACATTGCATATTGTTGTCTTTGTCAGAGGACAAGATGAGACATGATACCTTGTCTAAACAATATTGGTATGAACCTTTCTTCTCATTGAGCTAAGAGAAAGTAGCTGTATACCTACCCTAACTATCTTATATATACATATTTTTTTCAATACATAATAGTCCTTGATTTATATCCCTCCTTTTTGTTTTGTTTTGTCAGAGATGAGTGATCCATTGCTGTTAGAGAAGCTGTATTTGGAGAATTCTTTAAAGGACCTTTCATACTTGATGTCAGTCCAAAGACTGTGGGTACTTGAATTTAGCAAAATAACCCAATATAGTCCAGTAGTCCTTTATAGTAGTGAGTTACCAGCACAACTGGCAATTGTCTGAAGTTGTTGACTTGAGACTTTTACAGCTCAGCATATTAATATAGCTTTTTTTTTTTTGGCGGAACTGGGGATCGAACTCAGGCCCTTGCGCTTGTCAGGGAAGCGCTTATTCCACTGAGCCATCTCCCCAGCCCTTTCTTTTTTTTTTTTTTTTTTTTTTGAATGAATTAGAAGTTTAATTCTGGATCGTTTTTATAACTGTGGTTTCTCTTGGGCGTCGTATCACAGCAGACTACGACGCCTCTGGGGTAAGGGCAACTGGTAAGCTGTCCAACAAGGTTCCAAATAACACCTCTTACTGAGTTACCCTACCCATACATAGCCCAAATAAAGTTTTTGATCAAAAACATGAGTCACCTGCTTATTTTAAGCATATTAAAAAGGAAACGAATTGGACCATTTCTATTTGTCTATTTTATACAAAAAGGCTACACAATGTTACACTTTCTTCAGATTACAATAGAGTGATTATGGATTAGTGTTCTACACCATTACTCGATTCTTAAAAATTAGAAATTGCTGCAGCAGAATTCACTATAACATAACACTACAAGACTTAAAAAACTAACAGTTACTGCAAAAAAAAGGGGGAAATTTAAAGAGCTACTCCAAAGCAAGCAGTCAGTACCATTACAGATATTTAAAAAAAAACTCATATCAAGCAAGGCTAGGGCTTCATAAATTCCATCTGTGATCCACTCCTTGTGCACGCTTCACTTCTCCAGTCACTCCCCAAATCCACTTGTATTGTTACTCCTAAAGGAGGTTACAGGTCAGTATCGAACCAGGCCAGCTGATAGCTGTCACCTGGCGGCAGCCCATCCATGAGGTCCTGGGCGTGTCCCAGGTCTGGCAGCCCATCCACCGGGTAGTCGGCACCTGGGTGGTGGCCCCCCATCTCGTGCTCCATCATGGGGTCCATGCCCAAGGCGTCCTGGCCGTAGCCGCCGGAGTGGAAAGAGCGGTAGCTGGGGTCGTCCTGGCGATACCCGAGGGGCTCTCCCTGGGCACCGATGTCAAGTCCAAGGTCAGCAGTCTCATTCCAGGCCATGGGCTCTGTCCGGAAAAGTGAGCTGGTGAGCTCTATGGACAGCCGCTTCTTGTAGTCCCGTGGCTTATCCTCAGACATCCGGAAGAGCATGGCCGCCGCGTAGGTGGCCACGCCCTCATTCCGCTAGTGCAGCAGCTCTGTCAGGGGTGCAGTGGCCCCCTCTGTCTCGATGGCCTCCGCAGCCTCCTTGTCCTGAGCGAGCTCACAGAGGACCCCCGCAGCTACTCTCTGGATGTTCTCGATGGGAGAGTACAGCAGCTGCACGAACAACGGAATGGTGTTGAGTCCTCGGATGACAATGCGGTTGTGCACGTCCCGGGCAAGGATGTGCAAGGCGCCTGTACAGCCTTCGACAATCTCCTCCATGCGGACCCCCTCCACAAACTGCTGCTGCGTCCCACCCATTGACGTGCGGCGCTGGGTGTCCTGATGAGCATGCACAAGCAGCTGGACCAGGCGTGGAATAGCTCCCTGCTCACGCAGAGGCGCATGGTTTGCTGGACAGAGGGCAAGATTGCGAATCAATCCAACCGTAGCCTTAATCAGTGGCCAGTGCGATGGCAGATGCAGGAGTTTCACCACCACTGGAAGGCCATAGTGAAGGCGAACAGCATTCTGGGCCATCTCTGCTTCCTGGTGTCGGCTGGTTAGATGGCACAGAGCACAAATGGCCGGCTCAGTGATGTCCTCTCTGTCCCCAGCGCGCAGGACAGTGCGCACCAGGGCCTCTATGCCGCCCACCTGGCACACCATCATCTTGTTCTTGTAGTTATTACAAGTGAGGTTGGAGAGGATTCCAGTGGCACAGGTGACCACGTTGATGTCATCGGACCCCAGCAGCTGGACCAGTGTTCCCAGAAGACCTTCCATGCCTTCCTGCTTGGTCGCAGCATCAGAGAGATTCCTCAATGTCCAAAGACAGTTCTGGACGAGACGCTGGCTCGGGTCTGTCAGGTGCAGTCCCAACGCCTGCATCCCACCAGCTTCCACGATGGCCGGCTTGTTACTGGAGCAGACGGATAGCACCTTCAGCACCCTGCTCGTGGTCCACAGTAGTTTCTCGTAAGTACAGGTCCTCATTATGTTCACTAAAGCCTGGGGTCCACCACTGGCCAGAATAATCAGCTTGCTTTCCTGATTTCCATAAGCTAAAATCTGAAGGCAGTCTGTCGTAATCGCCAAAAATTTGACATTCGTCTTGTTGAGCAATGCCACCATCTTCTGTAGGCTGCCAGCTAGACGCACTGCCATCTTAGCTCCTTCTTGGTGTAGTAAGAGGTTGTGAAGAGTCGTGATGGCGTAGAACAGCACTGAATCCACTGGGGAGCCCAGCATCTTCACAAGCGCGGGAATGCCGCTGGACTTGAAGATGGCCAGCAAGCCCTCGCGGTGGTGGGAGAGGTTGTGCAGGGTCCCGGTGGTACAGCGCGCGGTCTCCACGTCACTCGTGTTCTGCATGGTGCGCACGATAGCAGACACCATTTGAGGAGAGTGCATGATGGCGTGCCTGGAGGCCTCCTTCTTAGAGAGCTGGTGCACCATCACCGCGGCCTTGTTGACCACCACCTGGTCCTCGTCATTGAGCAGCTTTGTGAGTTCAGGGATGGCACGCGTGGCAAGTTCCGCATCATCCTGGTAGTTAATCAGGTTTACCATGGCATGTTTCAGCATCTGGGAGGGCTCGGCCAGGTGCTGGACATTGGTGGGGTATGCGGCGTCAAACTGCGTGGATGGGATCTGCATGCCCTCATCCAGCGTCTCGAGGAACATGGCAGCCCGCACCCGCTGTGCGCGTGTCATGGCGTACTGGCCGTCGATGTCGGCTACTTGCTCCTACGTGAAGGACTGTGAGAAGCCCTGTTCCCACTCGTACAGGACCTGCGAGGTGTCCACGTCCTCCTCCTCGGGGTTGCCTTTGCCACTCAAGGGGCAGTGGTGGTGGCTCCAGAGTGGATCCCAGAGTCCAGGTACGACTGCTGCTGCCAGTGACTGACAGCCGCCTTCCTGTCTGGCTCCATGGCCATGTCCAGCTCCATCAGGTCGGCTTGAGTGGCCATGGTCCTCGTGGGCCTTGCCGGGCAGCGGCACTGCACTTCAGATACCCTCGGGGACAGGCGCCTCGCCGCGGGCCGGCTTCTGGGCGGGCGGGCGGCGCTGCTCGCGGACCAGCAAGCGCGGCAGCCACGGACCGAGAGGCTCCCTTTCTTTTTTTTTTACTTTTATTTTTATACCTCATTAGCCAAAGTAATGTCTTGACTGTCTGACATAATTTCATGTATGTAATGGTAAAGCGAGTCACCTCGCCACCTGGCTGCGGGACTCCTGGCGTGTCCCCATACTCCCCATGTGTTTTCTCAGTGTTGCTGCAGCACCACACTCTGGATGCACTCTGGTCCACCTCAGGGACTTTGCATCTTTGGCTTTGTCCCTGCCCCCACCTGCTTACCGCTTGTTCTATCATCTCTGTCTTCCAAGCTTTATCATAGGTGAAAACAGGAGTGATGTTCCTCATGAAGCCTGGTCTTGGCCATCCTCTGTCAATTCTTTTTTTTCCTGACGTCTTGAAACATTCCTTGGCTGCTTAAGGAGTTAAAGATCACGCGCCACATGTTACAGTTCATTTCCCAGTAACGTCCTAGAGTAGGTCGGTGACTAGCTAAGAATTAGTAAAGTCTCTTATGGTACCATTAAGCCCAACTGCACTGGGAAATACTGAACCAGAGGTAGCAAGAGAAGTTCAGAGCCTGCATTCTAGAGCTTGTATGTGGGAGATGAGAACAGGTCCATTTTTACTTTCTAGTCTTAGGGACGCTCAGACTTGGGGAACGCAGAACTTGCAGCACCCCACACTGGGTGACCCTGGACTGTGGGCCACTCTCGTTCTGAAGGCTGCTGTTTTATATTTGCTATCTCCAGCTTACATCCCCACAAACGCCTACAGTTTCTGGCCAAGAAAGCAGACGTCTTGACTGTCTAACATAGTCTCGTGTATGTGTTGGTAAAGTGATTCAAATATGACATTTTGGAAAGTTAAATATTTTAGCATCTTTTTCTGTTAGTGCCCAAGTGTAATTTTTAGATTGGAAACAAGGGCATAAAACCTATGATATAAAAAGTTATCTTCCCTGTATTTTTAAATTATATTCTGTAGTAGTTATTTGATTAAAATGGCATAGTTGGCTATTAATGTGTATATAATGTATTATTAGATATTTTCTTTTACTTTTTATGTATTTGGTACAGGGTCTCACTATGCAGCTTGGACTCATAGTGACTCCTTCTATTTTCAGCCTCTCCAGTGCTGGGATTACAGGCGTGTGCTGCTGCATCCGGGCTTGGTCACTGTCTCAGTGTGCCTAGGGGCAGGGCCAGCGCAGCATGTGGTGCCAGGGGTTGAACCCCAATTTCTGCGCTTGCCTAAGCAGATGCTTAGTCCATTGAGCTATCTCGCCAGCCCTAGATATTTATTTTCAATTCAGTAAGAATTTGTTACATATCTAATGTTTTCTAGATCCTGAATAAATTCTAAGTCTGGTAGGAGATTCAGACAAGTGAAGAAATAACTGTATATAATGTAATTCACAGTAAGTGTTTGGGGTTTGGAATAGCTTAAGACTTGTTTTATTCTCTGGTTCCCTCTTGGTCATTCTCAGGCACTAACAGTAATAATAATACTGACTGCTAATGGAGTATTTCCTAAGCTCCAGATCTGCTTGTGGCTTTATATCTGCCAACTCGCATCATCCTCTAAGGTGGGTATTACTGTTATCATATGCACATTAAAAGTGAAGGAGAAGGTTTGATCTGAAGTGATCCATACTAGGGACCTAAAGAGCTGTTAGGAGCAGACAGGGGCTGCCCTCAGCTTGGAGCCAATAGCTGGGGAGCTGGAAAGCTGCCTGCGGGGTGACAGGGGTGGTGTGGAAGAGGCAGAGGGGAGGTGTGGTGGGCGAGGAGGGGAAAGAAGGACTCCAGGCCCTGGCTCGAGGGCCTGAGGGAGTGGGAGCAGGAGGATGTTGTTGCTAATCACAGGGCTGAGGTGTGCACGCATTGCAGAAAAGACATCGCTGGGCATTTGGAAGGTGCCCGTACTATTGAGGGGCAGTGAGAAAGGGTGCATGTATGAAGCTGTGTAAGTCCTGGTGGAATGAATGTCTGTTTTGCCTGTGTGATCTTTGCATCCCCAGAGTCTGTGACAGTGCCTGGCATGAGACAGACACTGTGTTCGCACTCCATGTTGCGCTCTGCTTGGAGCAGTTCCTTGCCGGGCTGTGCTGGAGATCACTCGCAGTCACCTCTTCAGCATTGCCCACCACTGAAAAAGCCACAGATACCTGACCTGTATTTTTCTCTCTCTTTTAGACATTAGCTTGTCTTATTTCCTGGGAAAGTATCTTATAGGGCTGGGGAGATAGCTCAGTAGAATAAGCGCTTGCCTGACAAGCACAAGGGCCTGAGTTCAATCCCCAGTTCTGCCCCCACCTCAAAAAAAAGGAAAAAAAAAAAAAAGAAAAGAAAGTATCCTATAAAAGCCTGAAGGTAATGGCACTGCTGACATTAAACCATTCATAGCATCATTGTTGGACTCATGCCATCCGCTCTTCTGTGATTTTACAGACTCGTCCTCGCCACTGCTGGCTCTCAGCAATCACATGTGCAGACACGTAGCTCCTTACTTTAAGGATAAGAAGCAGCACAAAATTGACAGTTATTTGCTTTCAGCCCCTAAGACTTGAACGTTCGGCCTTCATTCCTATATCCTGCGCCTCAACCTCTGTCACTTTTGTCAACTCCCAATACACTTCCAGTAAGTGATCTCTTAGCTTAATAACAAAATGAATGATAACGATGAACGGGGCACTCTTTTGTCACTCACAACCTGTCAAGGGCTGTGTACATGTCAAAGGACTTAATAGGATACTTCAGTTTCTGTCTTTTGTTCAGTCATCCACAGCACTGCCTTCTTCTGGCCCATTCTAAGCAATCAGTGGACTCAAGGCTACATTTAGAATTAGCTAATTTGTTTTGTAGGAATAGTGTCGCCGGCTGATTAGGATAGTCCTCAGAAGTTCAATTTTGGCTGAGACTTGATGGATTTCATTTTCTTAAAACAAACAAAAAAACTAGTAAAATAACCCAAAGACCTTTAATACGTTCAGTAATTTTAGCTTACCATAACCATGGGCATATCAATATCTACTGTCGTCCTATAAATAGCAAGCATGACTCTTAGTTATTTAATTGGTGCATGAATGTCCTGAAGGTTAAACCCCGTGATGTGTAGTATTTTCCATAGCCGGGTTTGCTCTAGCTTGTCCTGTGATGAATTACTTTGCTTGAGGCCACTGGAGATGAAATGCTCATGCTGAAGCAATAGTAATGCTAATTGTCACGCAGTCCCCACTGCTGTGTGCTTTTCTCCTCATGTCTGGGTGTCTTGTGTTTAACACAGAGGCACCGGAGCATCGCTCTTGCAGGACAAGTGGCGCATTATACACCGCACTGATCAGTGGTTTTCAGCAAATGAATAAGTGGTGTTAACATTCAGTTTTATAAAATCCTTTTACAGAATTCATTGAGAAAAGTAAAGTCTGTTAGAAGTTAGATCATGGCTAGAAACTGAGGCCTTGTTCCCACTGAAAATATTAATGAAGACCTGAAGAAGAAAAAACTTGAGAAACTTTAGAAAACGTATGGTACCTTTCTGAGGAATAATATTTCAGATATATATATATATATATATATATATATATATATATATATTTTGTTTTGTTTTTCATTTTGTGTATTTGGTACAGGGTCTCACTATGCAGCTCGTACTTGTAGTGATCCTCTTGTTTTCAGCCTCCCCAGTGCTGGGATTACAGGCCTGCACCACCATGCCACCACCCCTGGCCGGCTCAGCATGCCCCACAGGCAGGGCTAGTGCTGCAGGAGAGATCGTGGAACCCTGGTCCCTGCACCTGCCAAAGCAGGCGCTTAGTCTGCTGAGCTGTCTCACTGGCCCTGGTTTATGCTGTTCTTAAAATTACTTTATCTTTCTTTTTTGAGTTCTGGTAGTAAATACATTAGGGGAATAATTTGCAGATTATAGTCATTTTCACTACATTTGGTAGAATTTTGAGAGGAACAAATTCCTAGTAGAAAGTGGTGAAAAAAATCAAGTAATAAGATCCTATGTTCTCTTCCTGATGAGAATATATGACTTTCATTCTGTGCACCATGAAATAACTTGCCCCTAATACTTTCATTTTAAATGTTCAAGTATTTGCACATTCATTTTTATAGATTTTACTTGGTATTTAATATTATATTTTATTTTAATACAGCAGCTTTTCCCATTGCATGAATAAATATGCTTTTATTATGCTTCTTTATGTGGCAAGAACAAATACACTGTGCAGTGGATATTAATGCCAAGCAATGCAAGTAATCTACCATCACCCCACCTTCATTCACGGAGCATCTGCTGTCTGTGAAGACGTCTGAGCTGGATGCTGCACGGCCTACAAACACAGCACTTCTTCGGCTTCTTTACAGACACAGCTGCTAAAACATCAGGAATTTACGAGATTACATGCGGGGGAGGAAAGAGCAGAAAAGTCTTAGCAAAACCCAAGTGATGCCTTTGGTTAGGTGGCAGAAGCAGGTCAAGCGCAAGGAAGCTCGCTTAAGGGACAGGAAGGAAGAGTCAGATGAATGGACAGAGCCAGAGCGCATGGCCATTGTGACTAACATTAGACAAAGTCTCAAGAAGTTGGCTCACTGTGCAAAGACCAAGGAGGATTCAGACAGCCCAGCGAGGTGGTTTCCTGGCTTGCTGCAAGAGGAAGCCGGATGCGCTGGTGATGCACTAGACGCTTGTTAACTGGCCATACTGGTGAGCAATAGGATACAAATCAGGAACGCCATAACACAGTGGGCTGGTTCAGTGGACATTTTTTTCATGGGAAATCTTTCTTAAAGTAATTAATGAATTTTTCTGTGCATGGTCCCTTTGGTGGAGCTATTAGGAGGAATGGAACCTTCGAGAAGTGGGGCCCGATGAGAGGTCTGCAGTCCTGGCAGGGCTGCCCTGGAAGAGGACGCACAGCCCCAGTCCCTTCTCTCTCTTGGTCTCTGGCTCGTGATGAAAGCTGCTCCATCTTACACTCCAGC